GGTAAGGCAGATGAGTCAAGGGAACTTCACCGAGCGTCAGCTCATCTCCTGCCTTCGGAACAGATGCCACCACCCCAAGATGGACAGCCAGCTGTGGGGCCAGACTTCATTTAAACACTACAATAAAACCCCTAAGTTTCTTAATAGTGCACTAAACAGGCATTCAAGGTTTCAATTCCAAGCAGATTTTTTTGGATGCAGAATAGTTGACTCTGCTGATTCTGTAATAGATTCGGGAAAAGGAGATAGGAGAGGACACAGATGAGGACAGGAAACTCTAAGAGACATGAGGCTTCAAGCTGTGCATTTTTCTCTGCATGGACAGAAAAAGACAGCACCTAATTGCTACCTCAATTCAGTATCAGTCCAGATTTGTTTCAACAAGTGTTTCCTCCAGCACCAGCTCTGAGTATGCAAGGAAGAATTTAATACAACTAGAGCAACCACCAAGGTTTCTGCCAACAGGGGCACTTCTGCTTGGAGCACTTGATGGTCTCCTGACCCTGAAGATCAGGGGAGAACAAGAATCCAAACAAACACCCCAAATCAAAGTCCACATATTTTTTATGCTCTTCTCTGGACAATCAAGTGGCACTGCTTCTTTGTTACTCCACAACCAAGAGAATCCTCCAGAGAAGGCTCTGTAGTGCCTTATCAGAATCAAAACAGCCTCAGGGAAGACCTGGTGGGTCTGTACCAGTAAAGAGCGTGGCATCAGAGCAGCAAAACCTCTGTGGGGAGTGAGGGAATCTCCAAGTCTGATTTTAAAGAGGAAGTCGGAATAGGAATCATTTACTACCCCCATGATTATACAAGAAAATGATATCATCAGCAAGATGAAAGACTGTACAGAGAGACAGCAACATTCATTACTTCCCAGCTGAAATCGGGACTCAACCTGGAAACAAAAGCTTCAGCTCCTCTGCGGTTGGGTAATTAAATACAGAAGGGGCTGAAGAGAAAAGGCTTTTCATTCACCATCATACAGACCTTAAAGGTGCATTCAGACTTCTTTCCTGTAGCTGAACTTTCCTCCAGCTACCAGGATAAAGCATTTGGCTCAAGTAGATGGAAGTCTGAACTTCCATCACCCACTGAAGAAACAGAACTTGTCCACACAGAGGTCAACACTCCTGTAATACTTTGGGCTGTTAAGAGTTAGGGTCATTTCAGTCTTGGAGGTTTAGAACAACATTTTTGTCCGTCCAACAGCCTTACGCACAGCAGAAAGGCCTGGGGAGGTGAATTGTGGCACTTTTGCCAGAGGAAAGAGCTATTCCAACTCACTGGTGAGGTACAGTTCTGACTGAGCCACGGGCAAAGACTCTTTGTAGTGCAACACACGAAGCATTACACAGTCCAGATGTAGCTCTTAACAATGACAACCAAATTCTCACTGGAGGGATAGTTTTGCATGGCATAATTCACTACAAGTGAAAACTATGCGAGCCAAGAGGAAGATATAATCTAATTATTTCTGGTTTCTCAGGGCTGAAGGTGAGAGGGAAATTTGAAAGCAAACAAAGCTGCATTGCTCAATATGGAATGCTGCAATATAAAGAAGTGAAAATTAAGGCCCTGCACAAAACATGTCAATTTTCGATAGATATGGCACTAACATATATTAATATTTCTGACAAGCCAAAAATGTCAGATTTCTAAGCACAATATGAATCACATTAGAATTAAGAACAGCTGAGCCTGCACAACAGATTATACAAGTATTTATGAAGCACAGGAAATACTCCAAGCCAGCAAGTTCAGCTGTATACCAATACAACTAATAACTGTTATGCTCCATGTATCTGGTAAAAAGCCACTTTATTGACAAGATAACTACAAATTAACAAAGCACTGGATAAAATATTGAACATCCAGCCAAAATATAGGGGGCATTAAAAATGCCCTTTAAAACAAGGAGTCTATTCTCATTAAAAGTTGTTCTCTTACCAAGACTGAAGGAAGATCAATGAATCATGAAAGCAATTCAAGTGGAGCAAAGTTCTTTGCTCAAAATGGCAGATTTCAAAAATTCTGGCAAAATGGCTTGAGAAGAAAAAAAATCAGTGTGCCCAAACTCGGGAAGAAGAAAACACAAACCACAAGATTCAATTTGCAGCAAAGATTATTTGAAGCTATTTATCAGATAAGATTGAAACTGCCCCTATCTGGGAACCTTTCAAAGAACTCTTATTTGGAATCATTAAAGTGTTTTCTACTATTGGCTGAAAACAACTGATGAGACTCCTAAAACAGACCCTTAATTTAATTTATTTGGACATAAACAAATTAAAAGCAGTTACAGGATATAGTATTAATAATGCAGATATGTCACTGTAACATTTTTTTGTGCCCTTAATCAGTTTGATTCATTAAAATAATAACTGGTTGTGATGTGAAAGAACTTTGCTAAGTGTTAGAGTCTTAAAAAAACATAAGATAAATCAGTGATCTGGAATGAAACACTGGAATTGAAGTCAATGAAAATGCAGGGTAAAATGTTTTGGTTTTACAAAAAAAAAGTATTGAGTCTTTAGCCAAGATAGCAAAGTCCTGAGCAATATCACAAGAACTGACATCACGTTAGATATTTTTCACTTAAGACCCCTTTCAATCCACCTGCTGGGATGGTCTCCTTTGGAACAAGGAATGTCTCATTCCCCATTGTCCTCAGTGAGGTGTGGAACACAAGTTGTGAAGAGGAAAGTCAGCATTGATAGCAAAGACAAGAACTGGAAGGAGGTGGGTGCCCACAGAAGCACAGACTGGTTTGGGTTGGGAGGGACCTGAGAGCTCATCTCATTCCAACTCCTGCCATGGGCAGGGGCACCTTCCACTATCCCAGGCTGCTCCAAGCCATCCAGCCTGGCCTTGAAAACCTCCACGGACGTGACACCCGAACACAACCACACCAGAGCTCAAGGTAAGGTGCTCAGGGAACCAGAAGAGGCCTGGGTTAATTTTCTCAGGTGGATTACAGATAAGCAGGGACAAAAAAGCCGCATGAGCCTCAGTCGTTTGTTCACAAGAGCGGGAGACATCAGGACTGGACTCCATCCAGCTGGGAACCTGCTCTGAATGACCTTTTGGGGTCAGCCTTGGAGATTGTGTAACAGTTTTGTTATTTTCTCTCTCTGTGGCACAATTTTAACAAACCTGTAATCGCAGCACTAAAAGCTGGGAATGCGAGTACAAATCCCCATCCTTAATTGCTTTGCCTGGTTCAGAGTGGGAATTTTTAATTCAAGTCTTCCACACATCAGGAGGGTGCCTGAACCATCAGAAAACACAGTGATTTTTTTCTGGCTCACTAATCATTAAATAACTCACACAAAGTTGAAAAGGAACAGACTCAAATACTCACACAGATTATTTTATATTAAGGACGTTCAAACTTCTAAGCCCAACAACCCACATACCAAACATTTCTGTAAGATCAAAAGGCACATTTTCTGCTCTCTCCCTCACACAATCCCACACACATCTAAACTTCATCCTCTTACCAAACATCCTGGGCACTTTATTTTCAGACTGACTGCTCTCTAAAAATTATTTGGTTTTGCTTCCTAGCAGCTATATTAAAACCCACTATGAGATGAGAGCCAGGGGATGGATCTCAAGTTGGGCTGCTCGAGACAGACACAGCTTGGAAGTCATTTTCAGTAACCCACATCCTGCAGTGGGGTACTCTGAGGTTTGAAAATCCACCATTAGATGAAGCTGCATCTAAATTTCTATTACTCCATGCAAATGCTATAATTGGGTAGGAACAGATGAGAACCTAAAAATCCCACTTAGACTGGCTTGTAGGTGCACAAGACAAAGACAGTGATTTTTTCCAGCATTACCTTTGGCTTTTCATGGACAAGGGAAGATCTGACAGCTCCAGACCCACAGTATCCAGAGATGCTATTCAAACTCATCACCTTGTATTTTAAACACACCGTGAGCACAGACTGCAAGCAATCACACACTCAGCAAAGAACATAAGAACCTGCTGTTATGCTAATCTAAATAAAATTCAATCTAGAATGGATTCAAAATTAATTAAGCCTTTAAAATAAAATTAATTTACATTTCATTGCAGATCTACTCCAATCTGCTGTACTGGAGAATAAGAAGACCTGTTAAGTTTCTCAAGATATGGAATGGAACATCAAACTGAAATTATCTCACCAACTCAGGACTAGATATCAGAGTTTAAGTAACTCTAGCAAAACAGGCAATGTTTTCAGGAGAAAAATAAAATTGTCTGCTGGTTGCTTATAAAGTTGGCTTGAACTACAGAATCCCTCCCTCCTAGTGTTCCTTCACAAAGTATTTTGCAAATACCTTCCAAAAATACTCTCCTTGTTAGGCCATAAAACAATCAGGACTGCAAGCTAACCATCCAAAGCAATTATTTGCTCTTTCACAGCAGATTAAATGTTGAGTAACCACCACCTTCAGTGGAGTTACAATGGTTCAGAGTCAGAACTGGGGACAGAATTTAGAGGAACACTTCCATTAACTTCCCATTACTTGTGACAGAACAGGAGATGATCTATTTGGAGTCTATAAAGACCACAAATAAACTCTGTTTTTGCAAGTCAGATAAGAAGAGTTATGGCCAATGCTGTGGTCTTTAAGAAAGAATAGATGGTTCTGCTGTAGATCAGTTACTTACAGACCTACATTTTCTCCTCAAAGTATTTACTCTTGTACAACACACCGCCTTATAAGCTTCTTTTCGTTCACCTTTCTCACTCCTTTTAGGACTATTTAATGGATGTTGAGGGGTCTGTAAAAACATTGCAACAGATCAAATCAAGGGTGAGGGAAATACAGACCCTATAGCACCCACCACTCTCAGACACACTTGTTTTAAGCATACACCAACTCTACCAATTGAGAAACCTGCAAGTCTGAAGAAGGCTCAGAAATGTTTCCAGACCCTTTACAAGAACCTCTGCAGATGGTCAAAAATCCTTCTTGCAAACATGACAACATTCAGAACTTACCTGGGACCTCACAAACAGCAGTTAGCAGCACTAGAGAGCCCAGATGTGGAGGAAACAGCTGGAGCTCTGACTTCTTCACTAGACAGCTGAAGACTTCCCAATAAAAGTCAGCATAGCTTTCAATTCCAGCTTTTTGCTGTTCCAGCTGCATGTTGTGGCTCCCTGGGGAATGCACTGGCTGAAGAACTCCTGGTAGCATGGTTTCATAAAGCAGTGAATATACCTGCTTTGTTTCTTACTGCCCTGGGATTAAATCACATGCTGAGCTTTACTTTGGCTAGTAAGTCAAGGAGTAGAATCCTACAGCAGAGACTCAGTGTGCCAGTGACAAAGGAAAAAGCAAACTTTAGCCTATTCCAATTTCCAAGAACAGGATAAAACCTCTGAGGTAGTGGTAGCCCCAACCAAAGCAGAGGGGAGAGACTTGAGCAAAGAGAATTTAAATGCCTCACTCCAGCCTCTCTGGGAAAAGACAGGCAGAGCCTATTCTTTGCTCTGATAATTTTTCTTTCAAAGGTTCTAATTTTTTGCTATTCATTAAGGGGAAAAAAATCCCAGGTTTTGCTATAAGAAATAAGTACACTTCTCTATCACCCACTTCTACCAATATACATAAAGATTGTATATTCTAAACACATCATTTGTCAACAGCTTGTAAATCAGGTTTTTCCAAGTAGTAACATTAGCCATTAATTGTTTTAAACTTCACAAGTGAACACTCAAACAGGAAATATGATACATAAACAGGAACAAAGTCTTTAGCACAGCATTCAGTAAAGTCCAGCCAATGCCTGGCCAGTGTATTAGAAACCAGCAGCAGCAGCTCTGAACATAACTGCTGGTTGAGCAGTGAATGTTCTCCCAGTGATGTTTGTGCAGCTTGCTACTCAGCAATGGAAACAGCATTTTTTTCCCTACTACCCTTTAGCAGTAATGTCCTAAAATCTAGTCTCCTTCCTCTCCAAATTTGCAGAGTCCAAAACCTTCCTGCAACTTTTGGTTGTACATTTTATTCATGACTGAACCCAAATATTCCAGTTTCCATTTGTGTGTCAGGAATATTCATATGCATCCCCCTTTTTTATTAGTAGTAAATAGACCCTAAAATGCAGCTCTCTTGGTCATTTTTGTATCTTAGTCAGGGCATGAGCTTGAGGAGGAAAGGTGAACCTGTCAGAAAACCCTGAAGTGGCTGTGCTGGAATCTGAGGAGGGAAAACCCAGCCACTCACAGTTTGGGACCAGTTTGTTCCCCCTTCCAAAGCCCAGCTCTAGAGTGAGTTTTGTTTCCCTGTGAGGGTGGGGAGGCCCTGGCACAGGGTGCCCCTGGATCCATGGAAGTATCCAAGGCCAGGTTGGATGGGGCTTGGAGCACCCTGGGAGAATGGAAGTTGTCCCTGCCCATGGCAGGGGGTGGGACTAGATGAGCTTTAAGGCCCCTTCCACCCCAAACTATTCTATGAGGGTTTTGTCCACATTTACTGGTAAAAAAAAAAATCACATTATAACTCATGAGACATCTGAACTCCGATTTGTGGGGGCATTTTGAGTCCCAAATGCATTACAGAATAATGTACCCCAGAGAAGGAACAGGAGTATAAGAGACAGACAAACATTGAGAGAAGATGTGTAAAGTGGTATTATGTTATTAAAACATTACATTAGAAATAAACAGAACATAAACCAAAAATAGGTTTTAACCAGGTTTAACTTTTTTTTTTTTTTTTCTTTTTTTAAATTCAAATTGACCCAACGCAAAAACTTACATTGCAAAGGAAGAACAAAATACATGATGGTATTGGTACCACAGCATTGCATGGAAGCTGCACTTGTGGGCAGGTCTTTTCCTCCAAACCAGCCCATCCTGGTAAAGATGCCACAGCTTTTCTTTTGCCTCTGGATATTTATCTGAAGAGTTTGTCCAGATGTGTTCTCCTATGATTGCCAACCACAGCCAGAAAACCGAATTTTCCACGCTATTCCAAGGAAGCCAGAGTTATTCCAAGCATGAGTGATAGTGAATTTAAAAAAAAGAAAAAAAAAAAAAAAAAAAAAGAAAGAAAACAAACCCAAAACAAAACAAAAAACCCACTTGAGTTTTTCAAACTAACAAGTATTGTCTATAATGTAAATAGTTTAGAAATATGGTAATTAAATAATCTAAAAAACACTCTTACTCTGCTGTACATTTATAAACATAAATATTTACAAAAACTTTCTGTTTTGTTTTAAAGGATGAGGTTTGCAGTTTGTTAATGATCAGAGTCTTTTACTCATATTGATTCTTTGGTGTGTTTGCCAATTTTTTAAGGTTTATTAAAAGTGTTCAACCGTGAATTTTAAGGTAACGAAATGAGGCTACATCACAAGTCTCTATTATGCACTTCTCCTTCCACATTCTAGTCCAAATGAAAAATAAAGGTCAGTTTGTTCTTCAAAGTATTCGTGCACAATATTGAAAATAATAAAAGAAAGGCCAAATTCCCCCTTACTGAAATTTGGGTAGGATTATCAATGAATAATTGATATTAATTGAATTAAGGTGAGAAACCAGCTACAAGAGATGGCTTAGCATTGCCAAAAAAAAGGGTGAGGGCTTCCCTCCACCCTGGGGAGAGGAAAGGATGAAAATTAATTTAAGAAAGGCTTTTTACTGGCCTGAAACATATGTGTGTTCCCTTTTAGATGTCAGTTAACTTAAAAGAAATAACCAAAAAACAAACCTCAAACAATAAATAATGGAATTACACATTTCTTCATTAAATAGCATTCTTGTTACCAACAAAGTCTTTCATAATTCTCTTCAGTCACAGCAACAGACAGAACAAATAATTTGCCTTAATATAGATTGCAACTAAAATATACTCTAATTACCTTAGAAAATATTACTGTAAAAATTCAGTGGGGAAGGACATTGGTTTAGACCAACTTACAAGTGTAGTGAACAATACTAATTGTTTTGTTTTTTTATAAAGAAAACAGTTCTGAGATCCTGATTTCATGTCAGAAAACGGAAGATTTATGTTAAAACCTGCCAGTCTGCCCTGTCTCAACACTGGAGAGCTCAAAGATTGGAATGGCTGATCTTCCTTCCACAGGGACTCAAGTTCCTGCTCACACCCCACAGCTCGTCCCTACTCCACAGATACAACTAGGAGGAAGCACTACAAGCTCTACAACCCAGTGCAGGGTGTTAGGCTGGACTTGCTCACTCACATTGCTGAGATGTGAACTTTTGGTTACTGCTCCAGCAGCTGGACTTGAACCGGTACAAGCTGGAGATAAAAAGGTTCAACACCCCATTCCCAACCCTCTGAGCCATGAATCTCCAAAATCCCTTATTGTTTGGAAACCTGATGCAATGCCAGGCACAATAGGGACAGATAATCCTCCTTGCTTGCCATGGTTCCGGTGCATCCATTAGCAGCGATAAAGTTCATTCTCAAGGAGCTGCAGTCCAGGCTTATCAAATATTAAAAAGAACTAGCAGAGTTAAATATTATGAGTTTACCTGCCTTACCTTGCTTTTCCTATTTTTAATACTAAGTGTTTTGAAAGTGACAGTGTGAAACTTAAAAGCCATCATCATTCCTTTCATCTCCCACTTCGGTTGGTGCAATTGGTACGAAAGCACTCCTACTATCAGAGGGGCTCTTTTGGAGCCAGGCAGATGCCAAAATAAAAGTAGAGAACACTGGCAAGAACCTTATGCTGAGGCTGTAATGTCTTGAAAATAAAGAGAGGGAAACAACTGCACATTTTGGCCCAATCTTTTGATCAAGAAATTAATTTTTTCCTATGATCAGAAGCAAAACTCTGCAACAGATCTTTTAATACTTGGTTTGAAAGACACATTCAGTAGCCAGATTTCAGCACTCCTCTCAGTTTCTGCTTTCAGGTTAATGGTAAAAATAGAACTTTCAATGTCAGTGGGGCTTTTCTTCTTAGTTAATAACTTATGTGCACTTCCCACTCTCTAACCTGAAACAAACTGAATTTCAGAGCAATGAAAACAACCCTTGCACTACTTTTAAAACAGAAGAGTTTGGCCAATTTACTTTGTTTTTTTTTTAAGTGGACACAATTTGGCTGAGAACCCGTAGATAAAATCCAACTGAAAGTGAAATAAAGCAGGTTATACATTCATGAAATTCAGGGAGTAACAATGAACAGCAACTGCTGCATCATTTCTGTAATATCACATCAACACTACAGTGACGCAGCAGCTCCTGCTCTCACAAATAATGCACTGAGCCTAAATGAGGAACAGTGGGGGGAATCACACATCAAGGGAAAATACATCAGAGAGATTATTGCACAGGAGGCACTGTATGAGCAACAGAATACACTGGCTTCAAAAAATCTAAATTTGTTTCCTCTTAATGTAAAAAATACAGAGGCTACGCCTCTCTGTAGTGTACTGTCACTGGTAAAAACAGACTTACAAACAGCCCATTCAACAGGGAACGTTGGGAAAGAGGGCCTGGATTTTCTGGGCATCCCAACTACAGTAATTAGGAAAAGGAAAGTACAAAAAAAGCCAATGTATAGACCCTCATATTGAATAGGGTAACTGCATTTTTTTCCTCCATTTCCAAATTCATACAGTACCCGAGGACAGGTCGATTATCCACTCTTCCTTCTGTCCTGCAAAAACAAACACCTGGCAGAGACAGGGGTCCTAACAAACAGGGCTCTGGAGGTATATCTGTATCCTTTTGCAGGACTGGTGCCTTGATTTCCAAACTTTTATGTTCTTGCATCATTGCTCAGCATGCCAATTCAAACCAACCACTTCCCTCGAGGGGCTGCCTTCCATCTCCACGGCAAGTCTGCACACATAATGTGAAAACAAACAGAAAACCAACAGCAGTTTTTAAAATGCAATATTGTATAGAAAGCTTGGACCTTGTAAACTTGGACCAAGAAACCAAAAATTAAGACCTTCTAGCGTGTGGTATAAAAAACCCAAGGAAGTGTATACCTGCCTTCTGACTTCACAGAAAAATCAGAATTTGCATAGGATATACTTAATGCAAGGCAACAAGCCTCTTCAGTAACTGGAATAGAACTAAACTTGCTCAGAGTTCCTCTCTTCATGGATATCAGATATCATCAAATTTGTGTTTTAAGTAGTCTTTCATGACCTTGGCAATGGGTAGTTCATCAAGTAGTTTGAGGTTTTGAAGGCCTATACACTGACGGATTTTAATTCGGCATAGATCTTGCAAGTTTCTGGGCTGTCCTGAAAAGACAAAAGGAACACATAAAAATAAAATGATCACATTTTAAATGTATTTTAAGACATCATTTACTCTGCAAAATGACAGGGGTTTGCTATTTCCCAAGAGGAAAAGGGAAGGGAAAAATTACAAAAGAATTACAAATTAATACCTTTTTAATGAACTCAATGAAATCAAGGGATGAATCCTAAATACATTTTTACATGCACATAATTTTACTGATGCCAATGCAAAGTGATTTCATCCATGTGAGGATTCCCACCAGGTGGCAACATATGCTTATGCATTACAGAACAGCAGAACTCCTCCATTTAACTTTTTGTGGAGTTTTTTTCTATCTTGGGGGGAAAAACCCCTTAGTCTTGCTTTTCTTTCAAACAATGAGACAGAAACTTCTAAGTTCAGCTGTAACAGGACTAGGAAGTTTCCTTAGAAAGTGAGGATTTATAAAAGTTATTCCAGGATTGTGTAGCAGAGTTAAAGATTGGGGTTGTCTTTCCCTTCTAACGAAAAGATAAAGCCTTCAGGCTTTGGATGCAGCCAAACCCTCATCAAACAGAAAGGGATGAAAATGTGAATTAACCACTGTCCACAGAGGAAAAGTTTCACTGATACCACACAAACTTCAGCATCCCTAGCAAGGACTTTCCAAAATAATCAATTCTCTTTCAAGCTCATTCCTACCAGGAAAGTACTCAAAATCAAACACCTTAAGAAACAGTTGGGGTTTGGCCCCTCCATCCAAAATAATCTCAGAAAATTTAATCAAGTCATATATCTGAATGCACCCAGCAATGGATCCCAAGGAAGAAAGAAAAAGAGAACAAGAGACATTGAGAAATCCTGCCCCAATAAACCCTTCTAGCTTTCAGCACTGCTGCCTTTGGGCTTTCCTAGCCCAGAGATTGCACACAGATCTATGTCTTTAATAGCTGTGAATAGCTTGCCCTTTGTAAATCTGTCTAGTGTTTTTTGAACCCATTCATACTTTCAGTATCCAAAACATCCTGTGGCAACAAATTTCACAATATAATTAGGCGTTGGCTGGAAAACTACAAAGTAATTTTATTTATTTTAGATCTGCTTCCTGATGGCTTTGTTGCATGCCTGCCATTCTTTGAGTTACAAGGAAAATAATGAATAATTGTTCCCACGCCAGTCATGATTTTACATACCTTTATATAAACCTCCATCCTCCACTCAAGCTTGGTACCTCTTCCCAAAGCTGAAATCTCCAGTTAATAACCCCCAACATGGGAACCACTCCAAACCTCTGAACAAACTGCCTGCCTTTGTGCTTTTTCCTCATTCTGCTACAGCTTTTCTGGAGTTATTCCAGTAACACATCAAAGCTGTGCTAATCAATATTTTGATCATCGACTTAACTGCGTAAGCCTCTTTTTCTTTATTTCTTTTTTCCTCCAAGCCAAGACTTGGTTATGAGACCTGATGACTGTCAAATTCAAAATACTCAGCACCCTGAACAATGTAGGTGCTTCTGTTGGTATCTATAGAAATGGGCTGACAGACAGGTAGGGATTTTTAGACACTGGGATTTATCTTAAGCACTAAAATTATCCAGGGCAAGCCAGCAGAAGTAATGCATGAAAATAGTCTCAGTCTGCTTTTAACGAAATTAGGTTTGAAATTAGAAAAACATGAAAATTTGAGTTTCCTTTATGTAAGTTGGACATACTTTTATTATACTTATCACCACCTAAATGTCAATTTATTTTTAGTTAAATCTTTCATCCATGACTTAGAACACAAACCAATGGTTACTTTGCCCACCAGTGGTTTCTTCCTGGCATTCTTTTTTTTTTTTCTACCTGAAGGAAAGAATTTAGGCAACCCAAACAACAGCAGAATGTTCAAATTTCAGGGAAAGGAAAGTTATTTTGGTGAGAAAGCAAGCAACCTTACTGATGATAAAGAAATAGTTCTGATGCTTTCAAACAGGGTTCAGAAAGGATTCACTGTTTCAAAAGTTCACTGCAAACAGCAGCATTAGCAAAGATAAAGGACTAGAGGTCTTTGTGTATTTTCTGTAGTAGAGTACACAATAAATCAGCTATGAGACACTGATTTCTGGTTTCAGAAATAAATGCCTTTTAATTAACATCCTACGTGGTTTTTGAGAACATAAAGGAACAGACAACTTAAAATACCCAGAAGAAATTGGTCATCAGTTAATTCAAAAAGACCCGATTATCAAATGTATGACATTTTCCCCTGATAAGCCTAAAAAATATTTCCTGGGAATGTGTTAACAATGGACATTTCCAGTGTTAAGCACCAGTTGCTACATCTAGTGGCTGCTGGTGTCTTAGGTCACGCCTTGCAAATTCCAGGGTTATTAATGCATTTGTGATTTATTAGAAACGGTGTCTGGAACACTTACTCATTCTTGGTTGCATCTGAATGAAAAAGAAAAAAAATAAAGGATTACGGACCGATGTCAGTGAACCTTAGTTTGGCAAATGAAAAATGTTATTAGTAACTTGGCAAAGACAAGTTAAATGATGAATAAAGTTCTCTTTAAAAACGATTAGGAAGTAGCAACTTTGGCTATATCCTGCATCACAAGTTTGGGAAGTTATTTAGGTAAATAAGCTGGAAAGGAAGAGAATTAAAAGAGAAAGAAACAAAAAACCCCACAAACATGAAAGGTACAATTGGCCTAATTACCACTATCATGCAAAACAGCCACATAAAACTACTGATCACCTTAAAAACATCCAGCACATCCCTGAAGGGCCACCTTGTTGCTGTTATTCTGGATTTGCTCGTGTGTTCACTGAATTATTACATACTGCAGTCAATTTATTTTTTAAGCTTTAAAGCAGTCATCAAATAAATACGAAGTATTAATTAATACTTCTTAATACAGGAAAAAGAGGCATAGTTCATCTTTTGCCTTCCAGAGCTTGTGCTCTGTGCTGGAAGGGAAAGCAGAAATCTCTACCAATGCAATTCTTGTGTACAGTGTCCCAAACCTGTCAGAAAAGCTTCTTCCAAACAAAAGAAATGTAAACCACGAGCTTAAAGAATTGAGAGGAATTGCTTTTAGATTTTTTTTAATCTAGATGCAGCAGACTTCAGTATGTATAAAATGAAAACATTTTCCTAAATCAGTTCTTCAGCTGCTAACAAAGTAAGTTTTGAGCTTTCCCCCACTTAAATAATTATTTTACTTAAATAATGAAATGAGCCTTTTAAATTATTTTTAAAAGAATCAACCTTTGCTGAAGAGGAAAGGGAAAAAAACATGTTTTAACAGCAAGAAATTATTGCAATTTATCTGAATTCCACTCAAAACTCCATTCCTTTTCTTTTTGCAGTTTCAAGATTTTTCTGGTATGATATCTGAGAGTTTGCTGTTCTATCCCAGAGGCAGACAAAATTTCCATTTCGGATTTACTGCCTGGCCAAAGAACTGTGTCACTGTTAAAACTGCCCTGCATTTATACCTGTGCCTTCCCTCTGCAGACAATGTTTCCCAAGAAATAAACCACTAACTCACCCAGTAAGTCTGTATTTAAGGACCATTAAGGCATATTTGTGATGCCTCTGACAACACTGTTCTTTGGGGACTTTCATCCAGTACTGTAAAGCTGGAAAAGGGGAATCCCTACCCATTTCCTCCACTGCAGATTCAGAGCAAAAAAAAAAATGCATGTAAAAATACAATGTAAAAATCATGAATTGACCTTTCTGTTACCCAAGAGAAAACTTGGGAATAACTGAAATTAATAAATTGTAGGCTGCAAGAAGATCCCCTCTGATGTATTGTTCTAACTACTAAAAGAAAAGTATTTTAAAGCAAACAAGCAATGTTACTGGTTTGAAGTGGATAAGCTGTTTCTGAAGAAATTAAAAAATGAAAAATAACATCAGTGACATATTTCAGAAGCCGCCCACAGTTTTCTCTACAATATTAATGCATCTCTCTAAAAACCCTTAGAGTGGTATTTCTCAGACTGAGCCTCTGCCCCTCCTGGGAATTCTGAAAGGCTGAAAACAGTAGCAAGAAACCATTTGGTAATTTCTTTTTAGCTACAAAGGGAACTTAAAAATAAAAATCTTCAGAAACATTTTACAGAATATGTTGAAACCAGGCTGATGTATGCTGGCAACAGCTCAGTTCCTCTAGAATATCAGGAAAAGTATTTCTTTCTGCAGCAAACCCTTAAATCCATCCCTTATTTCACAGCAGTGAAGGAATGCAGCTACTGCCAGCAATTAAACTGAGTTCTGAATTTGTTGGCTTTTTTGAGGGGAGGGGAAAAAGAAAAAGATAATTGAACTTATCAACTGGAAACTCACACCCACCAGCCACAAAACACACTAGGAAGGATGCACAAAAACAGGATCATAGGGAAAGGTTGGGATCACCTAGGAAATGACCGAGGCTGAGCCGAACGGGAACTCGGCTGCTCAGTGCAATAGGTCTGAAGTTTAGGAAATGCACTGGCTTCTCCTCTGTAAAAAACAACAGCAGAATAATTGGAGAGGATATCTGGTTTTCCAGCATTCAAAACATTAGAAAAAGGTAGTATCAAAAATCTATAGGTCTCAGATATTAATATCAGGCATGCAGGGATGAGTGTAAAATTACACAGAGTTCATTGAGAGCGTGAAAAAATTCCTCCAGTTCGACAGGACATGGAAAGCTTTGATTCTTTCTAACTGGATATCATACAAGTTATTTTAAAAGTTCTAATTTAATTTTGTGTTCAGTATGCCTCTGCTAGAATGTGTGAGCCTGACATATGTTTTCATTGGTCTCTGAAAAATAATTCCTCACAATGAGTTTTAGATGCCTATTAAATTTCAGTCTATCTGGCACAAAAATTATGTGCTATTTTGGACTGAAAAGTCCTATATTAAAAAGCAGAATGTCAGTAAGGCTCAATGTTACACTTAACAGGTGTTTTTAGCAATGAAATTAGGATTTGATATGCTCACAAAGGTATTTTTAAAAAAAAATTTGTGCCATCTCTGTAAATTCACTGAAATTGCTATGGAAATTCAGCTGAAAATGTCAACACCATAATGTTTATCTATTTTTAGGAGACAGTAAGTAAAGTACTCTGAACATCAAGACAGCCTTAAGATGCATTGTTATGCTGTTTTAAAATTTTTTTTAGCAGAGTACAGCACAGGTGTACAAATGGGAGTAGAGCACGGCTGTACCTTAAATGCCACGTATAAAAACAGTCTTGAATTATTTTTTTTTACAAAGGCCTCTTAAAATATTCTTTCAGAGTAAATAACTGTATATAGCTACACTGTATGATTCAACTACTTCAACTGTAGAGTAGAAAATTATAAAATAATCCCTTATCCTAGTTCCCTGTGTAACTGGGTGACAAAGCAGACTTCAATCATCACTGCAAGACTTCCAGCAGCACCTAAGGAAACAAGTAAAGCCTGATAGTCCAGTAAAGATTTTCTATGTTATTACAAACATGAAAATACCATTTCCTTTGCAATTATCCATGAAATAAAATATGTAGAAATCTACTTAATTCACTATGACACTCCTGTATTCATAAAAGTGAAAACTATGCAGAGAGAAACTTTTTTAAATCTTCTTCCAGTTAAAAAAACAATTCTACTGAAAAGTTATCTCCATTTAGCCAAGGGATAGAAACAAAAGATGTATAAGAATTTCCTTAACAGAACTTCTGTCTCACTTATTCTGCACATTTACAGTGCTATATAAATTTAAACACAAAATTACACTCTCTAGTCAAAGCCAAAGATCTGCCCTTTGAAAAATTAGAAAAAGGAATGCAGCTGAAACACTTGTAGTTAAATTCACTGGGTGACCTTTAGATGTTCCAGAAATGAAGTGAGTTCTTTGATACCTGTTGCCACACAGCCACATCACACTGCTCTGGCCAGATCATTTCCTGAGCTCTCTGCCTCGACACAGACCTGCAGCTCCTCACAGCCTCTCCTGCTCCTGAGCTGAACACAGATTCAGTTAAAGGAGGGCATTGGGAGGGGGAAGTTTCCAGGCTTTTTTAAAATTCCCGTCCTTAAAGATTCTGACTGAAATTTCTAGTATCTTGAAGTCTATCTAAGCCCTTATGTATTTTTCTAACACTTGCATTTTTTCTACCTCCCACATTCATTTTATAAGTTTTAATATTCTCAAATCCCAATTTCAACTTCAAAACAATTTCATCCAGAGCTGTGATTTCCCACTAATTTTATAAATATATACACTACCAATAAAAGTCTCTATGTATCATATACATATATCATATACACTCACCTCTATTTTAATTTGCATTAGTGCATTCCAAGCTTAACACATGAACACTCCTGAAGAGGCAGGTTCAGACCAGGTGAAAGCTGAAACATTTACACTGCTCTAAAACAACTCTTTATCAAATGATCTTAGGTATTATGATGGCTGCCAATAAATGTTTTTTGACACAGGAAAGTGTAATACAGATAAGGAGAAGGAAGGTGATTAATAAAATCATTGAGCAGTTTTCATTTCCAACTTTTTTTTCCCAGAGAGACTTTGCTTATTTTTGTATTGTAAAAAAGAGAGAGGGGAAAAAGAAAAACACACAAGTCTGAACACCAAGTCAACAGCAGACTCATGGTCAAAAACTTGTTGTTCCTAACTTCCAGCTCTGTGCTTAAATACTGAAACACAACTATAGAATAACTTCCTCTTGGAATTATTCTAGGAGCAAAGGAATCTCTACCTGTAACCAGGAAGAATATCAGACCTTCAGGGTCAAACCCCAAAATCCAATATCTTCTTGCAGACTCTCAGGGCCAATACTGAGTATTTCTGAGAGCTTGGTTTCTTGCCTGTTACTCCCAACCGGGGACCTGGGCTAAAGGCTGCCATTATTACCGATTACAATACCTACCAAAACAAAAAGAAATTCACAAATGATGTTTTCTGAGAAACTGAAACTGTACAAATACGTTTTCCAAGTATAAAAAAAAAATAGCTATTCACATCTTATACGTAGATTACTAAATAGTACCCCATTTATATGCAGCATGCAACTGCTTTCACTTGAAGATGCAGATCGGTTTGTTAACTTCGATAATTTAAATCTATTAATCTTTAGTCTTAAAAATGTTACTGTACTGTAAAAATAAAAACTATTTCCTGTTTTACTATTGAATATACTCTTCAAAACTTAAGATGCAGATATAAAACTTACAGCTATGGATTTCTACATAAAGCACTTAGTATAAGATTAAAATAAACTGAAATTCCCATTAAGCCCCACAAACAAGGCACTGTTGCCTACCTCAGAAAAGTTTCAGGAAGAATTCCAATAGAAGAATTGTCCATAAATTTTGTAAGTTTTTTTTTTTTTTTCTAGGTAATACATATTGCAGTAGACTCATAAACAAGATTCTTCCCCAAAGTGCTACAGCACGAGATCTCAACAATTCCCTGTACAGTCAGATTTAACTGGGAACTCCACTACCAAAATGCCAGCTTGCTCTTTATCCATCTCATTTCTTATACAGCATCTTATTAAAGTAATTATTCATGAAAAGCAGGGAAGACAGTGTTTGGATATTTATAAAAAGGGCAGCAGAGTTTGTTTACAGTGGTTTGTAAACATTGATAATTATTTTGCTCAGAAGCACAGAGCTGAAGTGTTTTTGTCAGCACTGCTTTCCCAGTTCTCCCTCCAACAGCACAAAACTGGGATAGTTCCAACACTGTTACACTGGCCACAAATTAAAGCTATTTTTTTTTTTTGTAGCAGAATTTACTTCTCACTTAACAACCCTTAAGGTATGAAATCTGCAAGCTGAAAGTTACAGCAGCTGTTTCCACTGGTTTTCAGACACTGAGGAAACACGGGAGCAGCCTAAGCTTTCATGCTTACTTATACATCCAAAGACTGGAAAACTGCAAGTCTGGATATTATATCATCTGCTGAAATCCCTGACTCTGCAACTATACCGTGAGAGGCTTCCAAAAAGGAAACCAGAAAGAAATGTGTTTGAATGAGAAGGGACATGAAAATTAAACCAAAATTACTTAATTGCTTGTATTTCTTATTATCAACTTCCACCTTTCCGGAAATTCTCTTTCAATTTCAGATATGAACAAAAACAACACCACAAATCATGTAGAAAAAGAAAGGAAATTCCAAATGCTTATTTGTGTCAGCTACTGACAACAGATCTCAGCTGATTCACTTCCAGCCCACACTGACTTTCAGTTTCTTTCCAGAGTATATAGGTCATCTAATTCTCATTAAAAAATTATCACATTCAAAAAAATAAATAAAAGGAGCTGTAGGGGACAAAAAAAAAGATATATGAAATACCCCATCCTCTGTAGTGTAGAGATCATTCTAGTTGAGTGATCATTTACCAGGCCATCTTAACATGTTTGAATTGGCAAACTCTGCTAAATGCTTATCAGTAATTCCTAAATGCTTCAGGCAACACTCTGATTATGAAACATTAGTACAGCATTCCATGTTGAGAGAGGAAAACTTTCAGTAGATCTAGTACACCAAAAACTGGTAATCAAAAGTGATCTGGATATTAGGAGCCCAATACTTTTTCTAAATATCAGAAGTCACGATGAGTTAAAATCTCTCGTATTTCAAAGACATCAACAAAATCAAATCAAAGCTACACAGCACATGAAACCCCTTCAAGTTGCAGGAATGAACTGTGGCATTTTGTTGTCTGGTTTAGGGGAGGGAAGGAGGGAATGTGGGAGAACACAAAGCAGCCAGAGCTCTTTTCTGCCCTAGTTGTAGTGCAGATGAAAAAGCCATCAACTGCCGAGGATTTGCATGGCAGTAAAAAAGCAAAAGAAAAGACACTAAAAAACCCCTAAACAAACAACAAAACCAAACTCAAAAATCTTTTGTGCTAAGGCCAAAAATAAAACTGGATTTTACAGTTCACTCTTAAAATGAATGCTTCCCGTAAATATTTAAACAAAACTAATTTAAATGAAGTACACTTAACATTAGCACCTTTGCCGAGTAAGAGATTCCCAGTATCACAATCCCTTCAACTTCCCAGAAATTTTCTAGTGCATTTAAATAGCATCAAGGGGCAGAGAGGAAGAATTTTTTTTTCTGGGGCTAAATTCAAAGAAGGCTTTTAGAGGACATTGTGTCCTGTGATTAACTTCTCTTACATACATACTTGTCACTTCTTGTAAGAAATCCAGACAGGGTCGGCTACTTCCAGAAATACTTATTGAAACAGCCAGTGGGGTCTGTCCTTCATAGTTCCTTGTGTTAGTGTCTGCTCCGTAATTATACAACATTTGTGCACAAAGCACATCATCTCTAAGAGCAGACAAGTGTAAGGGTGTCTGTCCATCTTCCAAGCGCCCCAAGTTTGTATCGGCCCCTCTCTGGAGGAACATTCGGCAGTACGAGTGATTGCTTTTGATCACAGCGTATCGTAACAGGAAACCATTCTGAATGTCGATGTTGGCATTGTGGTCCAGGAGGATTTTCACACAGCTCGACCTCTCCCGGATAATGGCCAGCTGGAGTGGTGTAGTACCTTTATCACTGAGCGGATCAACCTCAGCCTTGAACTCCAGGAGGAGCCTGACAAAGGAGTCTCTGCCGTAGTGAGCAGCGACGTGCAGGGGAGTCCAGCCGTCGTTGCTCTTGGCGTTAATAATGTCACTTCTGTAGTCAGATTCCAGCATCAGGCGTGCAATCCTCGCCCGGCCATGCATGGCTGCGTAATGCAGAGCGGTGAAGCCTCCAATTAAGTCCTTAACTGTGGGATCAGCTGAAGTAAAAATAAAATTTAAAAAATAATTAAAAGGAGTTAAGGTAATCTGGTGCTGAAAAAAAAATTAAAAAAAAAATTCAAACGGTAATTGCTAGTCTTTCCAGGCATAGCATGACAGGATTTTTTGTACTTCAAGCTAATTCTTACTTTCATGAACATGCTATTTTTAAGACAAAGTTAAAATTGTATTTAAGAACGAGTTACAAAAAAAAATAATTTTTCTTTCACATACATATGTTTCCATTTCACAAATACTTTTCCACATCTTCCTAGCACTCTTAGGAATTAATTACTAATTACTCAAATCTCTCTGTCCATCCAGTTTTCCCCCAGCTCTACAATATTACATTTCTTTCTCAATGTTCAACTTTTTATTTTCCCTTGTGTTGCTTCTTGGTCTTAAAAAGAAGCATGTGTAGAAACATCTGCTGACCCAAATTGCGGATGTTTTGTGGTCTGGCAGCATTGTATTGTTTTTAGGGTGTAATGCTGTATTAGGTAAAATGTTTCTCTGTGGTCTGCAGGATTTCCAAAGCATGTAGGATATAAGTTATTTTAGATTATCTTGATAAAGTCTCTTTTCATACATGATGTATCTGTTCTGAATTTATAGTTTCACAAAAATTGAACATAAAAACCCACTTCTTAAAGAAGTCAGATAAACTGTTAGTGCAGAGTACAGGTACAGGTAATTACAGATTTATTTCCCCTTCACACAGCACATACACTCAGACTGATTTATTAATTTAAAAATTAAAATAATCCAACCAATTTGCCTAATTTCCTCAGGACACTGAAACTTGTATAGCAGATGACTAATTAATTACCCAAGGCAAAGTGCCATTTCTCAGCTAGAGAACAAGCCAAGCTGTGAGGCTTCTCCTTCCACCACCCATGGGTGCTGCTGCATGGTCGGACACTAAAAGGTACAAAGTACAGTGTGGAAATTTGAATGCTTTCCCAACCCATGCTAGATACCATCTTCACCACAAGACCTGCTCTAAGTTAAGTTCAAAATACAACATTAATTGCAGGCTACCCTAGACTGAGCACACCTGAACTCCCAAAGGTACAAGCACAAAACAGGAATGAGCTTCCCAACCCACTGTGTTCATCCAAATAGCACCAAGACAGAAACTATACCAAAATGAAAAGACTGGAAGGAAGGAGTAGAGAATACAGCTGCAAAAATGATCCAGCAACTTTAAGGACATTTCTAAATGGAAAGAGAAGATGGAGAGGAAGGAAACTAACTAACTAACATACAAAATTCCAACATACAAATGAATGCAGCCTGGCTACACAGAGAAATAAGATTCGTGATCTGCCTCTAGTGCACAGAATAGGAATAAACATAGAAATAAGGCATATATTAAGGAAAATTTAGTTCCTTGCTAGTGACAGCTTTCCTCATCTCTTTCGAAAAGCAGAAGTTTCAGTACTTTGAAAAGTCACACTAACCTGAGCTAAAGGAAAGAATGAAGCACCCACAGCCCAGCAGGAAAATGCAGCCAGTGACTGAATAGGTGCTCCTAACCTGCACTGTGATCATGTCCAAAATGCAGCAAAGAATCAGCACAACCCACACAAAGATAGTATTTCAAAGTGATGCTGCTCCCAGGGTCTCTTTCTTCACACTGCTCAGACTATCCTACATTGACTTCTGAGTGGTGATAAATGAAGTGGGTAACAGGCATGAGAACAGGCAGAGGGATGATACAATCTGAAGGGCAAAATTGGGGAGGAAGTTGGATATAATGGGAAGGAGACAGCAGCAGGCAGAGTCTTTCTCCACCAAAAAAGATTTTTGAAAGAAATAATGTTGGAGTTCTCTCTCCCATACTACATAAAGCATGGAAGGCATCATTTCTACCCCCAGATGAGGTGAAGGTCATGGCCACAAGCAGTTTAACCAATGCCATTTCCAAACTCAAGCAGATATGGCCCAACTTTTATATGTGCACCTATATGTACTTTTATACTGGTTGTAATCCAAACCAAACAATTTCCTGACAACGTAAGGATGCCTTTTCCACATAGTTTAAAGCACCTTTCTATACCTTCCTTATTACCAAAATGACATTGCTTTTGACCACTAAAGTGAATAAAAAAATTACTAAATCATGTAAGAGAAGTTTCTTAAGAAGGATAGGAAAAAAAGCCTCACAGTTGGGCAACCAAGCAACACAAACAACCAACCTTTCCATAACAAAACCCCTAGGAAAACCTCGTGAAAAATATACTGTAATTCCCATTAAGATTATGCATTTCTAGTGAGCCAACAGTCTGTCTCTGGATTAGAGAAACTATTTTAACAGGATTGAAACTTCTTTTGCTATTCCATCAATGTCCTGCTGCCACCTCCTGGAAAACTTCCGAACTTCACAAGGGCTTTTAGCAGAGGCTGGACCTGCATGAAGTCGCAAACAAATTCCATCCACTCAGTCTCTCTATTAGTAAAACTAACTCCCCAAAGTTCATGGTGCCTAAAGAAATTGTGCTGCTGTGGGGGTTTTGTCTGTCTCTGTTTTTTTAAAAGATTCAGTATTGGTACCATGTTGTAAAGTAACCCTCTCCCCCTGGAATATGAGCAAGGTAAAAATTAATTTGGGATGACTCTCAGATTACCTTTTAGAATCTTCAGAGGGATAAAAACTACTTGTCAGTTTTAGCTAGAAAGGGATCCAGCCAGCACTTGCCAATGGTCCTCTATCTCATCTCCATCCTGTCAAACAGTTTGTTCATTCCAAGCTTCCCATTAATATGGGGAGAGCAGAATGTAGAAACATGAACAACTGCATTTGGTCACTTCTAATGTTCTTAAATATAAAGTAGAATATAATGGCAGAAACCTTGAACAGCTTATCAAAGGTACCAATTACTGCAATCAAGCTCAGTCAAGATGGAAAATTTGTAGCATTGAATGATATTGAGATTGTTTTATTTCATGTGAAAGTTGGGCACCTAAGCTAGTTATTTGAAGTCCACTGTTAATAAAACTCTTTCTAATACTGTAATCTAGAGGATATATAGATTCATAAATAGAAGACTCATATTTCAGAGTTTCAATTTACAGCTCAGTGGGACAGTTTTCCTTTTTCCTTGACACCTTCCTTAGGTCACTCTATCACAGTAACTTGGGAAGCCAAGAAAGCAATGCTTAAGCAATGCTTCTGGCTTCATTGAGTACTTCTATTATTTCAAGCTTATTTCCCTCAGCTAGGGCTTAAATCTAACCACAAGGTTTAGAAGCATGGCTACATGCGGCTTCTGTTTCAAATTTCCTAAGATAACACTGATACAGAAGATGTCCAGGAGAGCATTACTGTTCAGAGACAGAAATGCTTTAGGAGCTTAGGGGGAGTGAGCCTTTGGCATTCTCTAGATCCTACCAGATTCTGCTTGACCTTACTAAAATTTAGATACCTTGAAGCCAAGACTAAAAATAAATAAATACGGCTGCTTGGCTACTTTCTCTTACTATTTCATTTCTAGGAGCTTTAGTGAATTATTTCTTCATTTTGAGTAACCAGAAATTGCTCTGTTAATACTGAGAAGGTATCACCAATGGACAGCTAACTAGACACTTTCAAGATTTTAACTTGTTGTAACATTAATAGTAATGATTTGAAATTAATAAAACATATTTCTTGGCCAGTGTTGGATTGTCTGTCTCTATACATCATATTAAAAATTTACAAAGTACACTAAAGGGACAAAAGGCTTGTTACACAAAAATCCAAGATTATTAAAAACTACACTCCCTGTTTTGGTGTTGCTTTGTGACTCCAGGTCATTTTTATGGATGGGTAGAGATGGCTTCACAGAATCTTTACTTCAATAAAATCAGACAAATGCACTAAGAAAATCAAATTCACTATTTCTTATGAAAACTAAGTTTCTCCATGGTTATGATGAACTTCTGCATTTCACCAGTTGCTAAGTAATATTTGTTATCTGACCTATCCCCTCTGTATGTAATTGGTATTTCTGCTGGCTTCATCCTTTAGCCTGGACTGTTTTTTCTGCATTTTCCCCATCTATGTGTGCTCCTTCCTCAGCAGATAATAGAAAGCTTCCTGCTGTTCCACCACCTCCACTCAAATCAGCCAATCTGCATGCACAACACTGTCCTTTGGCTCTTTTCTTTGCTGGTGAGCAATGATGGAAGAGAAAAAGCAAAAGCAGGAGGCGGACAGGTCATGACTCCCATAAGAATCTACTTCTTATTTCCAGGTCAGTGACCAGATTCCTTCTCAGCCTTTATTAGCCCAGCTCACCCTCCATCCCACTAGCAGGCTATGCTGGGAGCCTTCCAGCATGTCAGATCTGAGGCACAGCACTCTACCCTCAGCAACAGCCCACTGTGGTTTTCCCAGTCCTATTTTCCCCATGAAGATATTCCCAGCTCTGCTAAGCTCCATCATCCCTCAAGACAGCCACAACCACCACCAGCCACCCCTTCCTTCCCACCTCAATTCCCTCTTTCCCCCAGAACTCCACAGGCTCCCTGTCACTGTCATTTATTACCAATATGTAGTTCAATACTCTCTACTTTACCATAAGATTCAAAACAGAAAAGGACTCTTTCCTTCACCCCAGTATCTTTGTTTTTTCCACAGCGATTAAGCACCAACAGCTAAAAAAAAATCCACTCCAGAAGGAGAAAAGCAGAGACCATGTGAAGAAAGGTAGACACAAACCTCTCCCTAATGAGGGTGGCATGATTAACTCAGCTTGTAAGAGTCAACTCACTCACTGCTTAATAACTCATTTGTGACATTATTATGTGATAAATACTCATTATTTTTATGCCTCTGTTTTGAGGGAAAACGAGGCAATGCACCAGGCAGTGCCAATTTTCGGGAGCGAGGCTCAGCTGCAGGGAAGCTGCTGTGGATGACTAAACCTCACACTATTTGTTACTCAACTTTCTCATCCCGGTGATTCAACTCTAAGCTGCCTCAGGACAAAGGTGTTTCATTACAGGCAGTTTTCATGAGGCATCACATTCAGCTGGTACTTTGTATGGGAAAGAGTAACAACAAAAATAAAAACAAACCACTGCATCAGCAGCTATGTAATATGAAAATACATAGGAGTACAGAAGGGATTTGGGGTTTTTTATCATCTTTAAACTTACAGATACAAAGTTAAAAGCAATGTATGGGACTTAAAGCCTTAAACTTTTGAACTATCAAACGGAGAGCTCAAGATTATCCACATATATTACTTTTAAAAAGTAGAATTTGAAGTTATATATTAGTAGCTTTTTTCCCCCTTCTAAGAAGGCCATGAGGGTTTTCCCTTTTTATGTGGTTACAATCTGTAGTAGGTGCATCCACAGAGTCCAATTGCACAGGCTGTATTTCACCACTGCTCTTAAGGAACAAATCAGTGATTGTGCCACTACCACAGCTTGTTAATGCCACTCCACTTTCAGGATGATCCATGCAGCTGGCAAATCCAGTGACAGACACAAGGGGTCCATATGGCTCAGATACACAAAGCATCAGAAAGATCATTTCAGTTTCCTTGGGATTGAAAACCTCATAATTCATTTGGCAAGTACAGTGCTAGAATAGAGGATGCTGCTCTTTAAGAGCACTGATCAGAACGTGGAGAACATCTACTGATTTCCCTTCCAGTACCACTTTGAAAGATTAGGATGATCCCTTTCTAAAACTTTAGATGGCCTTGGAAGATGATAATGCAATGAGAAATTCTGACTGTACCACCTGAGGGATAAAAATCATCAACCACATGATTATCAAATCAACAAAATTCAGTCAGTTCTTGAAATAAAGCTTCATCATGGCTGGATGCAGGAGAGCTGCAAACTCACCTGCATTAGCTGACCTAATAACACCCCTAACAGAGAAGAAAAGCCTGTAGTGAGTGCTGTGAGTGCATTTCATTTTATAATGAGTCCTTCTGCCCTATTTTCATAATGCTTATTCATTCCTTGAACAATTCCTAGGCAGTGCTGGGAGAAAAAAGTGAAGATATAAAGCTAATCTATGATGTCATTCAGAGAGTATGCATCAGAAATAAACAGAGATTAAGAATAAAAGAATAAAAAACAATTATGAAAGATAACCAGAAGTATTTTGATATCTAATTAGTGCTGGAAAGCCCTGCAGTGGAAATCAGCATAGAAAGGTGTCAGATAAAGATTTTTCTCTGTAGGCAACTCACCTCCATGCTCCAGAAAAACACGGACACATCTCTCCTTGCCTCTTGCTGCAGAGAAATGAAGCAAAGTCCAGCCGTTGGCATCCCGACCGTTTGGAGAATATCCCTGCTCCAGCATCTTGCGCACGGTGTGAACATCGCCGGCAGCCACAGCAGCCTGGATCTGCAACTCTTCCTGTAGCTCAGGGTTCCTCCTGCAGTGGTGGTGTAACATCCTAGCTGAGTCTGGCCTTTACAAGAGCCTCATGAGCTCACACGAGTCACCTTCAATCAATGGAAAACAGGAATAAATTAGGATTGGGATCAAAAATGGGATGTAGGAAAATGTAGGAAAAAAAGGATTAATGAAATGCGATGCTAAGACTTCTCTGTATGCTGAGAAAAGTGATGTTACAAAGAGGATAAACCCCAAATGATCTCACTGTTATTAGCAAAATCATAGTATATGGTGACATCACTGAACTGCAAAAGAAAAAAACACTCACACATTATAAATAGTAAATGTTTTCTTCAGAAATGACAGCATCAAATAGCAGTTCACAATTAAAGTACCTGAGCAATGAGCAAACTGAAAAATCTCCAGAACCCACCACTCATTTCAAAATCACACTGTGGTTAATACCATTACCTCCAGAGACACTGGTTAAATGGATTATCCAAACTATGGAATGGATGATCCAAGCTGTTACAGGAAGCACCACTGCACTGCTACAGTTACTGAACTACAACACTCTTATTTTTCTAGAAATGCACCCCTTGTAAGCTTCAGTGGAAATATCTTACCAATAGAATCCTGTGACCTACTGCATGTGAGTATTAGTAACACTAATGTTCAAATTGAAAACTTTAATTATCTTTTTTCCTTTTTTCCTTTTTTTTTTTTTTAATTAGAGTCTACTCTTTGTATTCTGGCTTGAGCACTTCTTAATTAGTACACAGAGGCTGCAAACAACTCCTACATTCCAAAAATCAAATACAGGGATAATAATATATGAGACCTGAAAATACATTGAAGTGCACTTACAGTAGTCCTGTCAAACACCATGAGAACATACATCAGAATAATTCAATTTATAATTACCTTGATAGAGTATAGGAGAGCTGGGCCAAAAGGATATCTAAAATAGCCACTGTAAAAGAGCCTAGAAATAAGTGCAAACTGGGAAAGAGAGAAGTACTGTGTACTCCATGCTCTGTTTGAAAAATACCATCTGCAGTTCTACTTGGGGGCAAGAAAATGAACAGGTATTTAGGGATTTCTCCCCAGTACACAAAGTTAAATGATTGCATTTTCACATACATTATGTATTATATCCCATAGTCCTAAAATGGAAAGGAATACCAGAAGAAAGAGTAAATGCAGGGTATGAGTAAGGTAATGTTGAGCAATAGGAGCCTCAGAAAATATTCAAACATGGATGGATATTAACACAGACCTAGAAGATTAAAAATAGGAACGTATTTAAACTCTTGCAAAGTTAATCAAGATTAAAGTACAAAGAAAAGTTCTAATGATGAAAATGAATTTTAAGCAAAACTTGAAATTTACAGTAATTTTTTGGTTTATTAGGATGTCAACACACAGCATCACGTAAACCTTCTTTTAGGCATGACAAGGATTTTCAGATCCTCGTGATCCATAGGTCATTCAAAAGACACTGCAATCAACTCCCAATATCCCACTGGACACCTGTTTTCCTGTGATCCAGATATACCCACAGTCAAGAGAAAAGTGAAAACATCAATCACTGCCAACTTTGCAGACAAAGGCACAGTGTGTATTTGCTCTTCTACAGCCTCCTCGTGCCCATGGCAAAGAAGTTATTTATCTGCTTTTTGGAGATATATAAACTCATAATTAACAGGTGCTCCAGTGACCCTACTTACCCTGCAAATATGGAAATTACACACAGCAAATGCCTGCCTTTGACATTTATAAATGCTTCAGCTTACCATGTATGGCAACAATCACTACTTCAGCATAGGGTTATTAAAGAAGACGTTTTAGCTCCATATGTTATACATGGCTTAGAAACTGGCTTTGTTTTGTTTCATAGTGTGAACTTCATTATCTGAGACTGGGAGGAAAGGGGATTTACAAAGCAGCAACTGCCAACTCGACTTCTGCAGCATATTCCAAAAATCAGACTTGGTTAATCTGATACAATGAAAGTATTTCTATTGACTCTAATAAGCTTTTGCTAAGCTCTTTTCTAAACTCCAATTAGCACTTCAGAACATGCTCACCCATAAGACAGCAAGCTTGACTTCATTCTGCATCACACCACTAACAGCACTGGTAATGAAATTCCAGCTGCAAGAGTAAGATCTACCTTTGGATTTGCAGGAGAAAACTGACAGTAGACTCTAACTGATGATGAGTCATGCAAAACTCTTAAAAAATAGTAATTCAGACTCTGTCCCTTTTAGCCCTAGTTTCTGAATACCTACAAAAATTTCATGTCCTAATTTAAGATGGGAAAACTTTTTTTTCAAACTGAGAATATCTGATCCAAACTTAATGTAAACAAACTTTATGATGCCATTTTTATAGTCCTCTCTCGTAAAGGACCAATACTTGCAAGCCCTCACATGGTCCTGAAAACTAAGGTCAGGCTAGCTGCTCAAAATGCTACAGAAAGAGATGGGATGACTAAAGAGATGAAGTGAAATGGGATTTCTCATCTGAAGGGCCAGCAGTATTCCCCCTATAACTCTCTGTGAAGACAGTTGGTTGAGGAAAAGCAGAGCTCTCTCTCTCACACTTCTCAGCTGGTGGGTATATTTGTAATGCAGCATTATAAAAAATTGGCATTGGCTCCATATGTTGCATGTGACTAGCAGAGCTTATTCAAATTAGCTGGTACTAAAGTACATAAGTACTAAAACATACAAAGCAGAAGACAAAGTCAGGCAGCTCCTTTTATCACTTGCACAGTTTCTGTAAATATCCACTCTTCCATCTCACCCCTATGGCAAGCAATGAAATTCAAATGACAAGAATACTTAACCATAACATTAAAGGTTTCAGGATAGTTTTAGGTACACACCAGCTTTGAAAACATTTTTACTTCTGCTCCATAGATCATTTAAAACTCCTGCTTGCAAAGCCCCATTTAAGACATCAATCTTTGGAGAAGAGGAGGACTACTGGAAGTAGCCCTTTGGCATTTAATATTTAATGTTTTGCAACTGTAATCAATCTCATTCAGAACTCAGCATGCATTTGGGTTGTTACATATTGGCTTTCTGCATGCAAGTAAAAAAATGAAAGGAAGCACAGGGGGGAAAAATATACCTATATATTCTTGGTTATAATGATTTTATAGTGCCATGAAAATGGAGGACAATAACAGTTACTTAATTGATTTTGCAAGTACAACAGGATAAACTCAGTGTGGTCCTGAATTACCTTATGAGAGGTTGTTACTCTTTGATGGATGTCCCACTCTTCATTGTCTTCACTGTTCATAATCTTCTGTGCCCATGCATGTGAAACAACCTGCTACCCCTTAAAAAAAAAAAGTATTTCTTGTTAGTTGTAAAGAATAAAAGTGAGAGGTTTACTTACTTTCTTCTTGTGTGAGAATGCTACATTTTAATGCAGCTATGTCAGAGAAGACCCAAAGTGTGTTTTCCATCATTATCAAAGAGTCTTCCAGAGGTTGGGCTGGACAGAGTTTGCTTCTGCCATATGAGCAAAAGGCTACAGAGAATATTTTATGGAAGACAAGAGAAATGACAGAGGTGCTTCCTCTCTGTAGTAAACCTTGAAGAAATGGTCTACATCCCTCTCTAATAATTATGTGTATCTGCTCCTCCTGCATAGAACAAGCATGGATGCAAAGGTCACAGTAGGTAGGTATTTCTGCCTCACTCCTCAACATCTCCCTGTGGGAGTCAGATGCCAGGAAAAACATTCAGGATCCATTTAGCTCTTCCCAAACTACTTTTGCGGGTTTTTTATTTGTTTGTGGGGTTTCTTTAATTGTTGTTTTTGTATGGGGTTTAGGTTGGTTGCTTTTTTTTAAATCTCCATCCCATCTCAGCTTCCCTAAGTAAAGAATAAAACCTGAGCCCAGAGAGTACCGAGTTGTGTCCTTCAGCTGGATTTGCAGAGCCACCAGCCTGTCTCCTCTCTCTCGTGCGGCAGCTCAAGCTGACACATGCTGTGTTTCACAAACAGGTAAAGCCACCTCTACAATACAAGGAAACCACCAGCTCAAAAATCTTCACCTTTTTCTTCATGTAGAAAAACTATCATTTTAGAATCAAGGTTTACCAAATGCCAGTTACAACCCCTGTGCAGATTCCTCCTTCAGACTAACCCCTCCTTATCCCCCCTGTCACCTGCAGTTAATGGGATCAGTCCCAGACCATTTCTCCTGTACTCATCACTGTTATTTCACTAATTCTTTGTACACCTTTATCTGACCTTTCATTTCCTTTGGTTGCAAACTTTTAGTGAATGGCCCCCTTATCTCATCTGAGCACTGCAATAATATAATAAACAATAAAACCATTAAATACTTAATTGTACAGCTGATCACACAAACCCAACTGTGACTCGTTTCTTCTGCAAACGAGTTGCACCAGAACAGTTCCATGAACTACGCAGCTCTTAGATTAAGTTGAAATTTCTGCCACTTAATGCAACATAAAATCATGCTTTCACATTGATAGCTCAAAAAGGAGGATGAAAAAAAAGCCCTTTTCATCCCTCTTATGCACATTTTCCAAGAGCTTTGCTTCCCAAGATAAAGCATACAAGGTCTTCAGATATGCTTACAGCCCTGCACAAAACTGCACTGCCATGACCTAATTTGATCACATTTCTAGCCTTGTTTTTTTGCATAGATGATCAGTCGTTCACCTTTTTTTTAAAATTTTTGCATGATTTTCACTTTAAAACCCACACATTTTTTATTAGCTGATGCAAATTAGAATTGCACTGACTTCACAGACTACAGACAAGGTAACAGATTGCTCCACTAAAAAAGTAACAAGCTTTTTCCCCCCAAAGGAAAATTAGCTGCATATGGCAAGAGTAAGATCTGCAACTTTAATAAAAATAAGTCATATTTAGTGAGAGTAAAGCTCCCTCACTCAATGACTTAACAAAGTTTGATTAAAACACTAATAATTATAGTAGAAGCAGCACTAAATAAAAATAATAAGACAAACATCCTCATTATCTATTGATAATGTCTCATGTTGTCAAAGAGATCTTAGACTTTTCCACATCAATGTGTCACTTCTTTAAAGTCACTGCAAACATCATGTGGAAAATTAATTCCAACATATGTATACACTTACTTTAAAGAAAGTTAAAGGTTGGTACAAAAAGCAAGACCTCAAAATTCAGTGTTTTGCTTGTTCATGCAGCCTCACAGAAAGACCTGATTCCTAAACTCTGAGATTACACATCCAAGAGCAGAATAAGGACCATAAGTTACTGATGTCAGCCTCACAACAAGGGAAGTGTACCATTACACATGACATTTAGTATTTGGCATAGACCTAATCAGTGTAGATCACAGTTGCCTGTGGTTGAAGTATTCTGAGACAATTAAATCAAATAAACAACAGAAAAAAGGAAAGCCCTGTGGAATAAGGATAATCACATCAACCTTCATTAGTCTCACAACTCACTTCTCCTACCCATTTCAAAGCTTGAACAAGCTAAATGTGTTCTCACTCAAATGGCATTTTAAAAATGGTCAATACATTTTTGACAAACTAAACAAACTAAACACAACCATCATCTTCAGCTGTCACTCATGCTCCTATTCCAGGAGCTTTTCAGACAAGAGAGTAGGGCAAACAATTGTGTTGTCATTTGCACTCTCACATCACAATTGTGAAGTTTCCAAGGAACATGTGAAATATCAAAATTTCACAGAGCCTTATAATCCTGAATATATTTTCTGCTGAATGTTCCATGCTACAGCCCAGACAGACACCAAGCGAGGTATCCCTGTGGCTGAGATGAAAATCACCAAGCAATACATGCAAGTTTCTGGGCCTGAAAGCAATGAGTTAACAGTGCATGAATCCAAAACATTACAGAGGAACTGCTGCTTCAAAGGAAAGAACCCCTCACTCCTCACAAACTGTCATTAAAAATTACAAGTTTCTCATGAGAGCTCCCATAAGGCCAGCTTGTAGCTCAGATGTACTAAATTTAAAATAACCAAAAGAGTTAATCCACAAGTGCCCCACCAACTTCAGGTGTTCACAGAACTAGAGATGGTGGTGTTACACACTAATAAGCAGCTGTGGTGTTGTTACATTCTGCAGGTGGGTGAAACTGAAGCACAAGAAGTGTCATTTTACTTCAATTATCCATCTCCCAGAGAGGTTGTTTGGTCTGACTTTGGGCCAGGTGGAGAATCAGAGAGATCCCCCAGCTCAAGCAACTTCAGATCTGCAAACCTGAGGGAAACTTTGTCTTCAGAAAGCACAGCAACTACTCACCATCCTCAGCACCCCCACCCATACACTGGCAACCTTAAGCACAAGCAGAGCCCCATGAATAAAATCCTGCAATTCCTTCTGAAGACAGGACCTCAATGCTGATGCTAAAACAAGGCCTTAAAGCTCTTTTTTCAGTAGAGAATGCTGCATCAGGTTCACACAGCCAGAACCTCCTCCCTCAAGATGTGCTCTGACAAACTGCAGGGAGCTTGTGCTCTGCAGCATGCTTGGAGATCCTTGTGTACCAAGCAAAAAATACCAATTCTCCTCCAACTTACAGCAGTGCTATTACTAAGTTTTAAACAGCAAAAGTCAGATGGAAGCTTAGCCTTGTAAGTCATTAATTTGTAGCAAGTGTTAATTGCTAAGATTTATGTATTTTCATGTGACTTACTATCATTAAAGAACCCAAACATCAACATTGCATGGAATGAACCAATGGTGAGTTCAAACCACACTAAAGGAGCTACTTCAGCCCTAATTATCACAGCACAGCTGATAAACCAACTCAGTGCCGCTTAGAGAGTTTGTGTCATTCAACAATCTCTAGAAGTACATTTGATACATATTTCTATTTAATACAGCCTAAAAGAATCCAAGTGGACAAAATTTGTTTCATGTCTTTAGGGGACAAAGCAAGATTTTCACTGTGATAATATCATTCTGTAAGCACTACTGGAACAAAACAAAACCATCCCTCAGACAGCACATTTCCTTTAAGGGTTGAGAATTCACAGTGAGGAAAAACAAACCCAAAATGAGCATATAGCCTGAAAACTAAAGCTTTCTTTAAAGGGCTGCTATATTTGCAACAAGCTGCACTTCTGCATGGGATCAAGAGCAGGACTTCAGTACATCAGTGATCTCTGTGCCTTGTTTCAACCATGTGCAAATTTCTGCCAGAAGTTAATTCCCTGATTCCTATGAACTCAATTCCAGTCTCTGCGTCTGAATCAAACTTTGCTGCACTGGAATTTCACACTAGGAAGGAACTCCACAAATCAAATGAAAACTTAGGTCTCCTGTTGAGAATAAATCCCAAAGACCCCTTGAATTGTCGGCACCAAGAGGTGTCCTGTTGAAGCAGCTACAGATCTGACATGAGAGGCGCTGGGTAGGGAAAAGGGAGTTATAATAAACTAAATTCAGATGAAACAGCTGTGCCCTAACTGCACTGGTAAGTTTGTACTGATGCACATCTGTCTCACCTATTAGCAGGAAAATCCCTCCTGGAATCACACCGGGCATGTCCACATGTTCTGCCATTACTTGTGAGTTATCAAAATGACATGGAAAACTTCTTCCCTGCACTTCCAAAGCATAGCTAAGAATTTGTTGCACTTCTGTTCTGGAGGGATTTTCTATTTTATCTTCAACACAGAGCAACTACTTTTTGTCTTAATCTAAAGACATCTGTATTGGAAAAATGATCCAGCCTTAACCAAGGCTGCTGGCAACAAATACTGCTCTTTCTCCTGGAGGCTAATGCTCAAAAACAACTGATTGCCAACAATGAACAACGCTTTGATACAGTCAGTGACATCTCTGAAAACACAACACAGACCAGAGGGACCTCTGCGGACGGCATCTTTGCCAAAAAACCAAACTCACCTACATTTGAAACAGATTAAAATGGCTTCAAGACAGGCTCTGCGTTAGAAGAACACGCAGAAACTCCATCCTTTGGAGCACGCTGACAGCAGGATGCAGAAAAAGACTGACTGACATCATTCACCCCCCCCCACTCTCTCTCCTAGGATCCATCTCTTCATCTCACCACGTAAAACACGCAATTCTCCCTACGAACAGCTCTCCCCCTGAAACAGAACCTCCCTCCTACCAGCAGGATTGGTTTTGATGACTCCTTTCATTTTTTCCCCTTAAGCACCCAACAGCATCATCTTCTTCTATGATCTCAGCCCAAAAAGTAAGTACTTTTAAGCAGACACCACCCAATTAAATTAATTTCAATTTTTGCAGCTCCGTTACAACACACACACAAAAAAGTGACCCATGCAGGAGTGAGGTATGACTAAACCAATATAATGCAATTACCATGACCTAGCCCAATAAAGATTCTAGAATCAAAACAGAAACAGAAGCAGTGCTAAACTCATAAATTTATAGGAAGACTTAAAGAAAAGACCATTTTAATGACCTAGAGCAAAGTAATTTTAAGTGACACCCCTGAGATGGGGACACAAAAACCCCATTAAGTATGCATAATCAAAATAACATCTGCAGAATAATTTTGGAAAATTATTAAGTGTTACAAGAGGGACTGTACTTCAAATGGAATTCAGAGCTTTCAAACTTTAAAAGGTCAACAGCAAGTAGGTTTTAAGAGAACAAAGAAATCTAATACTACCTATTCAAATCCATAAAAACACAAGAGGCCCCAATCCCAGCCAAACCATGTGTCTAGGATGACTCTGAGAGTCTAAATGAATCATCACCTTTCTGGGGGTTTTTTGAGCGCTGCTTTCTCTCTTCTGTGTTATTTTGTTCTTTGGAGTCACTATTTTTAATTCTCCTTTAAAGCAGCTTAAACCTAGGAAAAAAAAATAAAATAAAAGTAGAACTGAGCCACACAATGACATAAAATAGAGAAATGAAGAACAGAATTGGTTAATACAAAAGCGATAGCTGGGCAATATAGGAAGAGCCTTCACAAATTTGGAAGGAAAGGGGTTATTCATCAAAACCGGGATGTCTTCTGGAAAAGGAGGGCACTCTCTCAGGATACTAAGGAGTTGAAGGGATAATAACGGCAGGACCGCTGCCCTGTCAAGGCAGCTCCTCCAGGGAATGGAAGTAAAGATAAGTGCTAAAGAATGGGACAGGAAGTAACCCAGAAAGCTGAGCTGCTGGGAAACCAAACCTCTCCCTCGCAGGAGTTCACGCTCCAGGAGCCGTCAGCAGCACGCACACACACACACACACACACACACACACAAAAAGCCGGCCAAGCCCCGGCGCACAGCCCCAAGGCC